GGTTGGCAGCACAACTCCTTACGACCAAACCATCAGAGCACTTTTGTCTTTGGGGTAGGAATGCAAATTCCCAGCAGGAATTGAATTGGAATGAACTGGTTTGAAGCTACTGACCTCCCTAGGGGCCCAGGGTATATTTGTTGGATGTACAGGTGCTTGAGTGGACAATGTCGATCCTATTCTGATCATCTTTGTTCTTCAGACTCAAGGTCAAGGCCTGGGGAGAAAAGGGTGGCTAGGGGTGATTTTGCAAAAGGAGCCGCTGACCTTAGCAGAGACTTAGGGAAAGGAGGGCACACTCGTCCATGCCACAGTTCTCCTGGGCACTCCCTGAGTGCCAGCTCTGTGATTCTTTGCCAGCTGAGCCAGCCACTTGTGCAGGCACAGCCCTGGGCTGCGAGAGCTAAATGGACTGTCCCTATGCCTTTGTATACTTAAGCTTGGTCCCCAACAGCAGCAGAAGCATCCTTTGGGAACCTCTTAGAAATGCAAATTCCGGGGGCCCCCCCTCAGACTCATTGAAGCTGAAATTCTGGGGGTGGGGCCCAGCAATCTGTGGTTTAACTAGTCCTGCAGGTGAGTCTGTTCTCTCTCTACTTAGAGCCACTGCTTCACCCCAAGGAGGAGCTGTCAGTAAATAAAAGTGACAACCTCTGCCTTTGGAGCTCCCAATCTGATAGGAAGATGGGACACCACCATCCGACAGTGAAGGCAGAGCCGCGTGATCAGAAAATCTCCCTTCAGAGGGACACCTAGGCTTCTCCACACCAGCCCCTCTACTGGGGGGCCTCCCTGCTCAAAGCACCGGGAGGAGGTTCTTTGCAGGGGGTTGGCTGCAGTCAGGACCCCAGAGAATCCTCCCCACTTTCTCCATTCTTCTGAAAGCAAGTTTGATGTGCTAATGAGGACATCAATTATTAAGTCACATTAGCATTCATTACAATAACAAGCAGAGGCTAGGTGGGACTCAAAGGGACTGGGACTGGGGGGAAGGTCTTTTGAAATGTACTGTCCTTTACTCCCCTCCTAAGAGATGAGAGGTCCTATTCGGAATTGGAGAGGAGAGGCTTATGGGCTCCTTGAAGATCTGGGAGCTTCCAATGCCAATGTGGCAGGTGAACAGTCAGTCGCAGCTCTAATTTCCACATCGTCCACTTCTCTGGACCTTTCCCCAGAGGAAGGATCCTATGTGGTGCAGTTTAGGTAAAATGCTTGGCTGTTAACGTCAAGGGTGGTGGTTCATAGCCACTCTGTGAGAGTGAGAGTCTGGTTTTGCAAAGCTTTATAGCTTCGAAACCATATCCTTAGCATTGCTGTGAGTTGGAATCCAGCGCTGTTTTCCTCCAGGCCTCATGTACCCTTCTCTGCCCACCCCGGGTCCCTGTCTCCCTCCTCCTACCTAGATGTGTATCTAACTGCAACTTTTGCTCCTTACTGCCAAGGGGAAGGAGAAACAAGGTTGATATCTCACCTTAGAGATGTCCCCTTCTCACCTCCCTCCTGAAGACTCCGAGCAGAAGGAGGGGGCTGGGTGGAATGCTTAGGAAGGGCAAGGGAGCTGTTGAGATCTATGTTCTTAATGCCCCAACATGCCAATTGCCCCTTCTGACCAAGAGCAGGGCCAGGGATGAAGGGGAGGGAGCCAGAGGGAAGAAGTTACGTGCTGAGGAATGAGAGTGTGGGCAGACCTTGCACCTGAGGCATCCCAGGTGGGGCAGCTGGCACATTGGTTGCACCTGGGCACCATGCCAGCTCACAGGAGCAATTTCCGTCTTCTGGCTGGAGAAGAAATACCTGCGTTATCCTCTCACTAATCAATGGACACGGAGTCCCAGCTTTCTCTGTCCTGAGAGCTCCTCCTTTTGAGGTCTGAGAAGGACCTATCTTCCCTGGGGGTAGGGCAGAGTGTCCAGTAGGGCCTGTGAGGGGTGATGGTGCAAAGACCCTGGGGCCTTCATAATCTCTGCTCCTGTTTAGAGAACTATCTCTTCCCATTCTTCTGTGGAACCCAGAGACAGCAACTCTGCCAGCGGGTGCCTGTGAATGAAGCATCTTGGGTTGCTGAAAGGAAGGGACCCAAGGCTCACAGCTATGAAGATGGTCCAAAATGTTAAGGGGTCATCCTGTAAAAGTGAACTACAGAAGTAAACAATAGTAACCAAATTGTATTTCACTTCCTCATTATAGAGGAAACGCTCATGATGAGAGGTCACTTTGAGGTTGGGGGGAGATGGGTGCTTTGTCCTGTTGGCATCTTTGGAATGGTTTCTGATACCTGGGGCCCCTGGGCCTAGGGGACACTGACTGACTCACAGAACCTCCCTTCATGTCCTCAAGTCAGTGGCTGTTTCCTGTCTATCAGTGGACGGAAGGACAGTGAGGAGTGAAGGGGAATCTCTGGTGAGAAAAAACATCTCTCTGTGGGAGATAATCAATGTCCACTTCTTCTTTATTGACACAACTGTATATCTTAACTCTCTGACCCATTTCTGCACCCAGCTCTCTTCTAAAGACTACATGTGATGGTACATTTGTGTGCCAGGGTTGATGCCTGCTTCTGGCAGCCTACATGATTAGAGATGGAGGTGGTGACAGGAAAGTGGCTGCAGGCATTAGAGTAGGACATCAAACCAGTTCGTTCAAGCTTGACTACAAGCTCAGTTTGACTTTTGTTGTTGTTGTTTGTGCACCATCCGACTGTCACAGGAGGAGATTGCCCCTCCTCCAGCAGAACATCTGGTGGATTTGAGAGTTTGATTTCTTAACCCAGATATATAGGAAGTTCTGGTGGCCTGGTGGTAAGGAGCTGCATTGCTGACCTGAAGGCACACAATTTAAATCTACCAGTTACTCTGCAGATGAGCAATCTCTTGTGTGATTTATTGTCTCTGGAGGATCAGTTCTGACTCGACAGCACATAATAACAACAAATATACATAACAACCCAGATATACAGATTCAGTGACTACTACAGTTGAACAAAATCCCCTTGTAAGAGCAGTTTCTTAGATGAACTGGTTTGAGGCCTAGGTTTGCAGTTAGGTAGTTCTGGGTTTGAACTTCAGCTTTGTAGCTCCTAGATTGGGGAGGTAACTATTTCTCTGAGCCTCAGTGGAACTGAAAATGTCTACTTCTGTAGGATTGCTGTCAATCACCTGCTGACCCCGTTCCCTTACCTGGGCATAAGGTGGAGAAACAATGAGACCTGTGCCAAGGAGGATCTGAGTCGAGGGAAGAAGGGCAGAGGCCCATGTCTTGGGCTTGAATGGGAACGCAGCCCCCAGGTGGCCAAGCCCTAGGCTCTGAGAAGCTTGGGAGGTGGGATGTTCCAGCTGTGGAGCAGGCACCCCTGCTGGCTCTGACCCCGCCCCTCAGCAGGGCCTGCTGCCTCCCATGCCATCCTGGGCAGGCAGCCAGGCATAGAGCTGGCTGGATGCCCCACTGCTTGCTCAGAGGCCAAAAGATGGGCACCATGCAGTTGGCAGAGTGAGAGGCTGCTGGCCCAAGAGGGGCAAAGTCAGAGTGCCGACTGCTGGGGTTGTGTGCCCAGACAGTGTGTCTGAGACATGGCTTTTGGCTGCCCTCCTGGGCAATTCCCTACTGGAATTGGAAGGACCCACTTATCATCATGCCTTGGCCCTGCCACCTGAGTTACTGCAACTGGAGGATAGGCTAAGGGAAGGGACATCTGAGACCTTGCCCCTTAGTTGGGAATGTGGATGGCTCAGGGGAGGTCTGGAGGCGGGCTAGGAGGTGGAAGATCCCAGATTAAGGCTGCAACTGGGTAGATCAGGAAGTGGGGAAACCGGTTTGTCACTTGGGGTGGGGTCTCCCCTTCTGAGCTCTGTTCCTGCCAGACACTCTGCCCAAAGCCCGAAGACTTAACAGAGAAGAGATAGATGTCCTTCACCTCTTTCTTGCTCATCTAAACGGGTCTGGGCAATGCCGGGAGTAAAGAAAAGGGAGAGGGGGCTCAGGCCACCTTCCTTTCCCCAAGAGAGGCTTGAGAAGGAAGGGATAGGCCAGAGAACGAGAGGGAGGGAGGTTGAGAACAATCCGGGCACCTGGAGGGGTCAGCGCGGGCCAGAGCTGGAGAAGGCCTTGGAAACACCAACAGGTAGGGCCAAGTGGGAGGGTAGGGAAGAGCTGGCCCGCCACGGGGCTGCGCTGCAAGTGGCAATGGCGTCGCCAAGTGAGGCATGAAAAGGAGCTGTAGCCAGGGTGTCTGGATCAAATTTGGGGTCCTGCTTGACAGATGAGCATATAGACTCCCCACTTCCAGCACGACCCCTGCAGTTCCCGTAGCTTCCTGCAGGAGTGGCCGCAATCAGAACTGGGGGAAGAAGGCAATCCAGCAGAGGGCGCTCGAGGGGGTTCTCTTGTGCAAGCCTGGTCTTTTGCAGCTAGGGGGAGGGGTCAAGAGAGGTGCCGGGGCCGCGGGCAGAGGCCAAGGGGAGTCTAGACTCTCTCTACATAAGGCAGTTGTTGCTTTCGGAGGTCACCTTGTCTTAAAAGTAGCCCCCCAGCCTCTCAGCTTCTTCTCCACCTCCCTACCCCCTGCTCCGCCTGGAGTGCTCTCCATCTCCCGGCGCGCTCAGGTTTGGACGCCGAGGTGTACCCCACCCTCCTCGAGCTGCTCATCCCCTAGTCCTCGAGATGCCTCTTCCATGCAGGGTTCGCGGACATATATTGGTCTCTAGGGTGGCGAGTAGCGGCTTGGGGTGAGGGGCGCAGGTGGAGTGGGGAGGGGCTCTCAGGCGCGCTCCGTTCCCAGCCCGGCCGCGCGCGGCGGGACCCCGCGGTGCTGCTGGAGGGCGCAGGGAGGCGCAGCGCCCCCTCCTCTCTCCGGCTCGCTGCCACCCCAGGCGGCCCTTTGTACGTTCCGGCCACATGCGCGTGCCCGCACCGCGCGCGCTCCCGTCCGCAGTGACACACCCGCGCCGGCCTGAGCGCGCTCGCGCTCATACACACAACACACACACATACACACACACACACTCGCTCTCGCACACTCGGTGACACGCCCGCGCGCGCGCGTACCCACACGCCCGGCTGCCGGCGCCCTCCCAGCTGGTTCACCCGGCGGGGCCCGCGCCCCCGGCCCTCCCGCCTGGCACCGCGCCCCGGGGCTGGGGCCGAGAGAGGAGCCCGTGCGGCGGCGAGAGGGCGAGAGCCAGGCAGGCCGGCCCGGGGCCCCCGCCCCCCGCGCCCCCGCCCGATGGGGAACGCTCCGTCCCAAGGCATGTCCCTGTCTCTCTCCTCCCTAATGTGCCTCCATGCTTAAGTGGAAGGTATTTCTGTTTTCTTTGTGTGTTTTCCCCTCGGCCGGGGGCGGGGGTGGCGGCCAGGCCCGGGTGACAGCGGGCCGGCCCGGGAGAGGGATGCTCTGGGCGCAGGTGTATGGGGGGCGGGGGACCGCTGCGCGCCGGGCGTGGGAGAAGGACCCGGTCGCTATGAGTGTAGGGACCAGAGAGGGGGCCATGGGATTGGCGAAGCCGGTGAGGGCCTGGCAGTGCTGGAGGAGGAGACCTAGGGGTGAAAAATGTGAAGGGTGTGCGTAAAGGAGGAGGGGTGGGAAGAAGAAGGGGAATGGATGAGGAGGAGAGTGGGGGGAAGGGGAATGGTCCAGCTGAGGTGGAGGGAGAGAAGGATGGAGGGGGAGGGGCAGGAGAAGGGGGAGGATGAAGCATTGGGAAGCACATCAAAGGCCTCCCTCGCTCCCAGGTCCCAGGACTGGGTGTTTGCTCTGGGATGGTGATGGTGGGCCCTTAGCGCCGGCCCCCCCAGGGAAGAAGGGGTGAGTGCGTTCTCAGGTTGTTAGTGTTGCCTGGATACTGGCCTGCACGCTCCTGCCTCCCCCCCTTCCCTGCCCCACACCTTGGGAGCCCCAGCCCTGGAGACCTTGGAGCCTCAGCAGCAGTTGCAGAAACTGGGGACCAGCTCCCCACTAGACTGGGAGGGTAGGGAAGGGCCACGAGAGGGAGTGGCTGGTAGGAGGGACCAATTGCTCTCAAGCTCTCCCTGTCAGAGGACAGAGGGTAGGGGGAGGGCGCCCCCAGCTGGAGAAGGCATCTTGGGTGCATCAGGGAAAGAGTGCACAAGGCTGAGGGACAGAGGGCGGGGCTGGGGAGAGGACGCGCTGGGCCCCCCCTCCCTTCCCACGCACCCCCCCTGCTACGTCAGAAGCTCCCGGGCCAGCTCCGAGTCCTGTCGGTGGGGGCAGCAGGATGCTGGTGGAGGCAGAGGGGGCCAGGCGGGTGCCTCCGCAGCTCGGCTGGCAGGGCCCGGTGGGGCGTGTGCCGCTGCTCCTGGGTGCCTCCCTGCCCCACGCCTCCCCATGCAACCCTGGCAGTGCCTCCGGCGCTTTGCCCTGGCCTGGTGGGAGAGGACGGCCGAGGGCAGTGCCCGCTCTCCCAGGGAGGAATCTGGATCGAGGGACCATAGGGTCCGAGGGGAGCCAGGTGAGCAGGAACTGGGGTGTGTGTGCAAGGAGGAAATCGTTTCCCAGCAGCTTCTCCCAGTGCTCCAAGAGGTCCTGCTGCTTCTCAACTTTTAAGGGACCCTGGGCTAGGGTGGGGGCGTTCTGCCTGAGGCACTTTAGAAGGAAAGGCTGTGTTTTGGGGAAAGAAAAGCAGGTGCGTGCTGGGAGTGGGGGCTAGCTGACCAGGCTTTGGAATTTCTTTTGGATGGGGTCTGAGCACTTGGAGGGGGAGGGGAGCAGTCACGAGTGGTTAGGATATCTTCTTCTCAACTCTGTCTTGGTCTGTCTGGGTGACCTTGAGTCAACTGCTTTGCTGCCTTATTCCATGCCTCAGTTTCTCTAATTCCCTTCCTCATCCCTCTTGCTGGTTTTAAAAAATTGATGATGCATTTGATGGAGACTGTCATTTCGAAAACTGTGAGAATCTGTCATCGTTGGTAGCAGCTGTGATGGTGGTGGTTTCTGGTGTGGCTGTGTGTATGTAGATGGGGGACAGTTAGGGTGTGCCTGTGAGGGTTTTGCTGGTTGGTGTTAGGGTCACTCTGGGCAGTATCAGGGCCAGCAAGAAAGGCTTTCAGCAAGCAGAAAATTGATGAGGCAGGAACTTAGCCGATGGCCTTCTGTAGAAACAAGGGAAGGGGGTTGAGGGTTTGGGGTATAGGGGGAGCAGGTTCCAAGATTAAGATCCCCTGCTCCCCACCCAGCCTGCCTGGCACCCAGGCACGATTGGCAGCAAATGCAAAGGCTTCACCCTGGCTTCCTGCCACCTGCCTTGGGGACAAGAGGGTCTTTGTCCGATGCCCCCCCCCAGCCTTGCTCTTTCCACCCTTTCCATGGTGGCCTGTTCTCTGTGATGACCCTGGGGCTAGGATGGAGATTTGGTACCCAAGCTGGCTCCTAAGATCTGGACCATGAGGTCCTCAGTCAGTGATGGTGGAGAGGGGCACTCCATTGGTGGAGGGGTACAAGGATAGGTGCTAAGATACCCAGCTCCCTTCACGTGCCCTCTCTTCTCTTTTTCCCCTCTCTAACCAGGGACCCACCCTGGAAAAAGAGTTTAATTAGAACCATTGATTCCTCCTTTGACTGTGGGCATCGATCGAAGTGGTGTGGTCAGGGATGGGGGGGGGTGTATGTGGCACGGAAGCTGTCTGCCCATGCCAACCTTGGTATCTCCTGCCCTAAACCCCAGCCTGGGATGTGTAAGTGGGAGGGGGCAGGTTCTTTCAAGGACTTGGTCTGCTGTAGCCCCCTCCTCGCTTAGGTCTTGGGGAAAGAGAAAAGACAGGGTGAGGATTTGAACCAAAGGAGCTGTGTTCAGGGTGGAGGGCGAACTGTTCCTGCCTCTCACTCGGAGAGGTAGGCCTTAGATTGAGAATGAACGGGGCTTGCAAAGAGAAGTAGGGGGCCAGTTGAAGAGCCTGTGGGTGCTGAGGCAGGTATGGTGTTCAGAGGGAGCATCCAGGCTTGCCATAAAAGGTTCTTTCCTCTTTCGAGGAATTCCAACCACTTCTCTCCCTCAAGATCTGGCAGGGAGATCTGATTTCTCTCTTGGTTTGTGTTCTCATGGCCCAGAGAGGGACAGCAACAGCCTCAGAGGCCCAGCTACCATAGGTCTGACCTTTGAGCCTGTCTCCCAGACTCAGCCCCTACTTCCAGGAATGGGGTGTTGAGAGTGAGGCTCCTGGTAGCCTAGGCACTGGCTTCTGGGCTCAATGAGGCGGGGGGCAAGCCATGCCCCCCAAGCCTGCCAGCCTGCTGTGGGTGGGCCAGTGCAGGTGCAGGCTTCAATGAGCCACTCAGACACTCTTTGAAGAATCTCTTGTTGGCTTCCCAGGGTCCATTCGAGCAAAGATAATAAAAATCTGGCCGTCAGCGGGTTTGAGGGCTGCACTCGCTTCCCCTTCTTTCATTCTGAGCTCTGAAAAGCGGAGATGAAGGCTTTGGATTTGGCTGGGAAGCAGCGCCTGCCTGCCCCAAGGGAAGGGGGAAGGGAGGCAGAGAAGGAGGGGGGACTGATTTCCTGGCAGAGCCTGGAGAATTGCTGGGGTGGTGGGCAGAGGGCAGGGCTATGCCCCCTCCAACTCCTGCCGGCCTGCCTCGATACTGGGGCTCCTAAGCCTAACACCTAGGTTCCAAGGCATGGGTAGGACCAGGCCTTCCGTAGCAGGGGCCCCCACCTGCACTCCAGCTGTCCACAGCCCCTCCTCTCCTCAGACCCTCAGTCTTCGCCCTTGCCCTCCCCCTTTCCCATCTCTCTTCTCCTGCCCCTGTTTCCACACAGTCTTCTCTTCTCCTCCAACCCCCAGCTCTTCTCTGCTGCCCAGTCTCCCCTACTTTCTGACCCCTGTTCCCCCTTCTTTCTGCCCCTTACTTTCACCTGTTCTGCCCTTCGTGCTCTCTATGCCCTCCCATCCCCCCATTCTGCTCTCTTTAGTCTCTCCTTTCCTCCTGTCTGTCCCCTCCCAGCCGTCTGCCTTCCTCAGCCCTGGCCCTGCTTTCGAGGACTGTCTGGAAGGTTGAGAAGCCAAGGAGGTGGGAGGAGGAGAGGCAGCCACAGCTCGTGAAAAAATGGACCTGAATTGTCTGTTATGGTCTGTAAGGTGCCATGGTTTTCAGAGTCCAGGCGGAAAGGGAGTGCTGAGCACTTAGGGGTTTTGGGGGGGCGGGGAGTGGCCATCCACCCTCTCCCTACACCACAGCGGGCACCTTGTCTTGACATTCCATGGACTCTCCCTCCTTTGCCTCAGCCACTCCAGCTACCATCTTGCTTCTACCATCAGAGTGAATTTATTCTCTTGAAACCTCCTTAATTCCACAGTCCCAAACCACTGTCTCTGGCTCCCTCATGCCCAGCAGACCACCCCCAGTTTGTGAAGGGAGAGCCCAGAGATTCACGTGGCCGCTTTTCACCAGTGTCCCTGGTGGGCCTGCTAGGAGCCCTACCCCAGCCGTTGGGCTCTCTTGACAAACAGTAAACCTTCCTGAAAGTCAAGAGTGACCTGGGAGGAGCACTGGACTGAGAGTCCAGAAACCTCACTCTGCTCCTTCCCAAATGTCTTTGTGACCTTTATGGAGTTCCTTCCCTGCTGCTAGAGACTTTTCCCTCACCTGCAAAATGAGAGAGGTGGGCTGGGATGATTTCCAAGGTCCCTCCAGCTCTGACATTCCAGCAATGTTGTGTCTCTCTTCTGGTGATTTGCATATGCTTTGCATATATTACTGGTGCTGAAAGAGGGAAGGTGCACCTAGCGTCCCACCCACCATTCCCACTCCCCTTGTTCATTGGCCCACCCTTGCATTGCTTGTTTCCCAGTGGGGTTGAAGGTGAGGCTGGAGCATTCCCTGAGGAGCTGGGTCTAGCCTCTGTGTTACAGCAGGCTGTTGGCAGGACCTCAGGTCCTTAGAGTTGAGGATGTCCTTAGTAGAAGAGATCCCTACCCCCACCACCATTCTTGCCTCAAAAGGTTCAAGCAGGAGGGGCGGAGGGAAGAAAAACCCAAAAAGGTTGTTGTCAAGTCACTAACAACTTGAGGCAATTCCAGGTATGTCAGAGGAGAACAGAACAGAACAGTGTGTCATAGGATTTTCAGTGGCTGTGACCTTTCAGAAGTAGGTCACCAGAACTTACTTCTCAGGTGTTTAATGAGAGTAGATTGTCTCATCTTTTTTCATGTGAAGCTGTTAATGAATTTGAACCACTGACTCTTCAGTTAACAGCCCAATACTTAACATACTACACTACCAGGATTCCCTAGA